AATCGGGGCGTTTATACTTGCGCAAAGTGTTTACACATGAAATAAAATCTTGTACCAGTAATTCCGTCTTCCAATTTAATAAAACAATTTTCACCCGCGGCTATTATTCTGAGTCTGCCTTTCCACAGGAATGCTTCCGTGTCTCCCCATTCTGCTGCTCTGCAAGTTCACGTTTCGGTCACCTTGGGATTGTGTGCTGCTATAATTGGGAGATCATAAACTCTTACCTGTAATCCCTGCTTGATGTTATAGGAGGCAGTTTGTAGACTAAGGAAATAGACGCACGATATTATTCATGTAAATGAGGCACGCGAAACAAACGAGCAACCAAGTTTGTCTACCATAACATTCACGAATCACCAGGAGCACACTTTCATAATCTTCCATTTCGACAAGTAGACAAGCAATATCGCCACGTACTGACGTGCTATAAATAGCGGTCGATTTCGAGTTACACGGAACTTTTTGAAAGCTGGAGTATGCATACGTAAACTTGCAGTACTTTCTGGTATCAACAATTAAATGGGTTTAGTTCATTCAATCAGCTGACTATTTCAACTATCTATATACAATTGAGAAAAAAAAAAACAACAACGGAGTGCTCTCACAAGCTACTCGAAAAGCTTCGCTATATAATATTATAGTGCAGTTATACCAAAAGAAACTCATTATATCGCAACATCTTTTTATGGACATTCCGTTTCCAATTTATAATTTAACCGCGTTTTTGCATCTACCTCAAGTTTTATCACAAAAACAGTTGGCTGCATTCGCAAACCATTGACAATTACAATTCACATCATGAAACCCACCGTTCGGTTTAATACTCCTTACGATGAAGATCTCTTGACCAATGCACGTCTGAGTTTCAACGGATCGCACCATAATTCTAAAAGCATTAACGATAGCCATAGTCGGACTGAACACGCCACAAAGCCTTTCTTGGGTCAGCGATTTTTTTTACAGGTTGACGACTACAAAAAACAGAATTTGGAAAACTTGATTCGACGTCAAGGAGGAATTATTTCTTCAGAATACTGCGAGCAGGTAAATTTTTTCTTCGGCGCACGAATTGTGTTCACATTATTAAAGGTCAACGTTTTGCAATTGATTTTGATTGCTTATAAAAATTTTTAAGACAACATATATTGTCACAACGCGTGAAAACTATGAACAAAGTCCACAGCTGATTAACGAATTGCAGCATATACATATAGTTTCTGAAGATTTCATTCACGATCCCACAAACAGCGCACACATCCTACGCTATCGAGAACGTGATTCAACTCTTAGACACACCAATCATCACTATGATAGGCGTCCTTTACATGATCAAGATGACGACGATATAAATGATGAGGATGACGAAGATGATATTCATCGGCCGGTTAATCGAAAGTCTCAATCCTATGATGAAATGCGTGTCAACGGAAAGGAGACCAGACGACATCGTCTACCGCAACACAACAGCTGGGGTCCAGGGTTGAGGAGAAATGATAGTTTTATTGGTAGAAGACAACAAAGTGACGAAAGTTACGGTTTTGATTGGGAAGACGAAAGATCATCATCCAACGAATCGGATGATTCTGAGGAAGAGAAACTCGACCCATTTCCGGTGTGCGATAACCCGGAAACTGTTGTTAACGATGAATCGGATAATCCCATTTCGGCCAGTGAATTATCTCAAGAGATGCAAAAGGAAAGGATGGAATGGCAGAGTTTTTTGGCTTCGGTTCTTACCGGTGAGGTCATCAAGTCGGAGAAGCGTCGCCTGTCGGGTTCTTCACGACAGGCCTCTGATACCAGTTTCAGCATATGGCTCGGGGTTCGAGCGGCTGTGCGTGGCCGCCTTACACAAAATCCTATGGAAGAAAAATTGATAGTGGATGAGAGACGGCAACAGATCGACAAGGTCTTGGAGGAGGTAATCCACTTCGAGGTCGGGGAAGATATAACCGCGATTGATCAGGTCGCCGAACTGCTTCAGAAGGTGGATGTTTGCGAGAGTTTGTATCCCTCTCGCAAGGCGATGATGGAAGACAAACCGTTGTACGGATTCGATAGTTTTACATATAGTCTGGACGCTTTAAACTCATGGCTAACGGTGACCCGCAGTTTACAAACACAGTTAAAGATTTTGCAAAATTGGACAGGTAGTGAAGATTTAATTATTACTCGATCAAAAGATGCACCTGCTGACGCAGAGCCTTCTTTCCTTGAACGCATATTGAAGGAGAATAGTTTAAAAAAGACATTTGAGAAACGAACTTTATCCACACTAAATTCACTCTTGCTCAAAGCAAAGGACGTTATGATTAAGAATGCTGATGCATTCGAAAAGATGAAACTGCCTTCCTATATAAATGAATTGCAATTGCTTCTGAATTTTCCTACAAAACTCATGGAAGAATGCATGAAGCTTTTGCTTGAATACGAAAATGTTTTGAATGATCCGACAATGTTGATGATTCAGCAAATGATGGACGATTTTCGAATCTCTCTTCCTCTGGCCTGTAAAATTAAACATCAATATTTAGAGCTCATCAAACCTGCCAGAGGGTGGGAGATTCCTCCATGCATCGACGAGAGTTACAATACCGTATTACTGCAGTCTCTAAAATTCTATTTCAGCCTATTACAATTAAAAATCAAGCACAGCTATAAAAACAAGACTGTCTTCTTCAAAGAGGCCGAGATTTTAGAAAATGAGTGGTCCTTTCTGAGTGAAATCTGTCATCATATTGCGGGTGGGGATCGCGAAACCGCCGAACAATTTTGGTAGGTCGAAATAACCAACCGTTGGATCTAAAAAAGAAATTTGAAAGATTATTTACTTCGATTTTTCATTATTTTCAATCTAATGTTATAATTGCTCACGGAAGTTCTGCCATTTTTGCAGTATCCTCACGAATTTGTTACTCCAGAGTGTCACGACATACTTTGGATCAGAATTGGACAACGTTCCCACGAACGTCGATGCCTCTAATCTGTCAAAAATCTATAACAGGATTTTGGATAGCGTGAGGCTGAGGTCCCGAAAGTTGATGCGATTTGCAAAGCATGTATATCATTAATAAACGTGGTCATTATTCCGAGTCGTCCATCAAGTTTTAATTCTTTTTCGTCGTCGTCGTTTTTTTTTTTTCTTTTTGGTTCAATCTGTCAGGTCTCTCTTTGGCGAGCTAGAAAATGCCGCAGAATATTTCATCGACGATGCAAATTATCCCGCATTCATTGAAGGATTAGAGCGCACCAGTCATGTGCTGGTGTGTTCTAACACCTTCGATGAAGATGGTGTATACCTTATAGTCGAACCGTCACTTTATGGGCGCCATGATCAAATACAAAGGTTGCTCGAGGCCGTTTTCACGCCAGACGACGAAATGTCGGATGATTTTGGTGACGAGCTACGGGAACTCCAGTATGTTCTTTTGTTATCACCAAGGGTGCCCTTTCAGTGGAATGGTTCCATCATGGAAATGCCAATGGAACAAATTAACATTGATCTCAAAGCCCACCGAACTAGGTTGGTCGCAGATGGCTCTTTTAGACTAACGGAATGCAAAAAGCAATTCCGTAAGGCTGTCGAGAATTGTAGAATCAAGGTGTTACTAGAGACGCGTGCTAACGTCCCTAGCGTGTACCGGGAAATCACCAAGATCAAAAAGACCATATTTAAATTCATAAACAAAATAATTGATAGCGTTAACACAATACGTGAAAGGACCAGGAACATAGAGTGCCAGGATTTGATTGAAAATTGCTTTAGCTTTGCCACCGAATTGGGCCAACGGTCCCTCCGATACCTTCACCGAGATGCTGTGCGAGCACAGTTGAACGTCAAATTAACTCGACTGTCCATTGACTGGGTCAGCTTTATATGTGACGATTGTGTTCCTTCCGATCGCAAGACTTTCCGATGGGCCGTGATGGCTTTAGAATTTGCTATGATGACTAATCGCGGTAGTAATATTTTGGGTCTGACGGAGAGTGAATTCGCGATGTTACGTATTAAGGTTTCCCTATGTATGAGGTTACTCATTTCGCACGTGGACATTATGGGTGCACGTTCGTCTTATGAAGCCTTGGAACGACAGCAGCAGGCAACTACCGGTCAGTTTGGACAATCAATTGCCCAACAACTGAGCCAAAATTCAAATCATCATAGCGAAGATTCCTCGGTCGACCGAGACGAATGGATAGCCGCTGTAAATGAGCTGGAGGCCAGACGAGCGCAAAAAGAACAAGATCAGCGTCTCGTCGGCAAAGTGCTTGATGACGATCAGCCTGAAATTCGACCTCTTGTTTTTCTGGCGTCCTCTAGTTCAAACATCTCACTTCGATGGCAACAAGGAAAATTTATTGGGGGCGGTACTTTCGGTTCTGTATATTTGGCCGTCAATTTGGATACCGGAGGTCTTATGGCCGTTAAGGAAATACGATTCCAGGATCCCTCTTCACTTAGCACACTGATTAAATCGGTCAAGGAAGAAATGTCTGTAATGGAAATGCTCGACCATCCTAATATCGTCTCGTATTATGGTATCGAGGTCCATAGAGACAGGGTCTTCATATTTATGGAATATTGTCCGGGTGGTTCCTTGTCCTCTCAACTCGAACTCGGACGTATCGAGGACGAAACTGTAATACAATATTACGTTTTTCAAATGTTGCAAGGGATAATTTATCTGCATGAAAACAATATAGTTCATAGGGACATAAAACCGGACAGTGAGTAACTTCTTTGACATCGATTTACAAACTCAACGCTTGACATTAACTTATCTTCTCTTTGTTTATTACTAGACATATTATTAGATCATCAGGGAGTTATTAAATTTGTGGACTTTGGAGCCGCAAAAGTTCTCGCAAAGAATCAAAAGACGATGGGAAGAACTACGATGGCCCCCAAAACCAACGTTAACAGTTTAACCGGTACTCCGATGTACATGGTTAGTTTGGAAATCTAGTTTGTTTGTTTGTTTGTTTTTGGTCAGGATTTACCATTTTTTTCAATTTCAGGCGCCAGAAGTTATAACCGGAACCGAAAAAGGTAGAAACGGGTCAATGGACATATGGTCGTTGGGTTGTTGCGTGCTGGAAATGGCAACGGGCAGGCGTCCCTGGTCTAACTTAGACAATGAATGGGCTGTTATGTATCACGTGGTGACGGGTCATCCACCACTACCTGACCCTTCGCAATTGTCAGAATTGGGGATGGATTTTTTGAAACAATGCTTTATACGGTCTCCTCAGCAGCGTCCCTCTGCCAAAGAGCTGCTTCAACATCCTTGGATTGCGAACATTCAAGAGTCTGCTATGGGTGCTTCTGATTGGAATGGGAGCGGTTTCCCAAGTAATAGTGGAAATAGTACGATGACCACAAATACTGCCACAACTGATAATGGCAGCACACCTGCAACTCCTTTCAATAATTGTCCTAATACTCATTTGGCATCTTCACCGAAGGTTAATGGGTCTTCGTCAACCGTATTTGATGTTTCTGTCGAGTCTGAAGATATCAGAAGTGTTGACGATACAAATAACGATAATACTACTCTTCAAGGCTATTATGACCATGCTACTACTCCCGGCAGTGCTGCGAGCGATAGCTGGAGTTTTCTTGGTGGAACCAACAACGATGAAAATGGATTTTAATTATTATTATTTCTTTTAGAATGTGCATATAATCTGTAAAATTTGAAGCTTTAGGGGTCAGAAGGTTAATGGGTCTTCGGATTATTTAGTTTCAAAAAATTCACTGTTACATATTTAATTACATAGAAAAATCTATACATACATACAGTATATACAGTATATTATTAATTTATCAAAAGATTTTTTCCACTCAATCTATTATTGTTAATATCTGGGAACGAGTTTTTATTTATCCTATTTTGTCAGAGTTCGCAACTTTGTACTTTACTAATTCTTGTAATATAAAATCCTGTTGTAATAATAATTTTCAAATATATATAGTATGTATTGTCAACTTATTAACAAGTCTTAAAAAAATTGTATACTTTTTATTTTTTTTTGTTTTTTTTTAACAATTTATTTTTTTATACTCTATATTTTATCATTAAATTTTTATAAGAATCATCTTTAATATCCAAATATTTTTTTAATATTCGTATTCTTTTTTTTTATCCAACAATTATACTGTTATGGTTAGTCTCAATAAACAAACAACAATATATTGACTCTTTATATAATGGTTAATTTATTTTGCATTGTTATTAAATTATTTAAAATATAAAAAAGTTTATTGCGCTAATCTGAATTAAGCAAACAAAGTCTTAACTAGATATCCAATTTATTTTCTTTCTAAATGTTGTATTTAAATTTCTTGATTAAAATTTATAATAAGTAATTTATTATTAAAACCAATGAATTGTTTTTTTTTTTTTGTTAATCTACAATCATGTCGCAATGGCTTGTATTTATTGAAAAATTAAAACAAAATCTATAATAAATTATAGACTTTACAAAATAACTAACTTATATTTATATATAAGTATTCTAGATTAAATTTTAGAAACAATATTATGCTTTTTTAATATGATTGAATTAATTACTAACTATCAGAATTATTGTCAACAATTTGTCACTATTAATTGATTCAAAAATCAATAAATTGCTAAATTAATAGAAAAAAAAAAAAAACAATTAAAAGAAGAAGACAATTAAAGCTTTATCAAAAAAGTTCAAAAATAAAAACAACATTTTCTCAAAAAGGATTTATTTGATTGAAATAATATTTTTGCTTCACTTGAATTTCAAAAAAAAATTTTTTTTGTCATTAAATAAATCAATTAAAGAATTTTTTATTTAAATAAATATCAAATTGAAATATAACAAGAAAAGTATTTAGATCTCAGTTTTTATTTATTAAAGCTTTGTTATTATCTAAGAAACTTAAGTAAAAGATAGAAGTCTGCAATTCATATTACTAATCACTTTATTTTTTTTTATAACTCTCTGTCAGGTCAGTTATATATGTTTTATTAAATAATGTAGGCTATATATTATATATGTGATGCTAAAGCTACTATAAATCTCTAACTAACTCACCTATCAAAGTTTTTATTCAAAACTCTAAGTGCAACTTCAGAAGTGATTTATTGCTCCATTAGTAGTTCAAGTAGAAACCTTTCCAATTTCTAACTTCATCACCTATAGATTACTAGTATAGATTACTTTCTGAGATTCTAATAAAGATTAAAACCCAACCATTTTAATCTATACTTAATCCCATTTATTATAATTTCTACAAGATTTTTGTTTTCACTTTCCTCTTTTCTTTACCTTATAATTTTACAATTAGAATCTTCTTATAGAGTATCTTGTTTTTTTACTTCCTAAGCATTCTTATATTTCATTTTCTATTAATTCTTTGTACTTGTTTCCATTCTATGATCTTTTCACAACTTATATTTTAAAATTATTTATGGATCTAGTTACAAACTTCTTTTGTACTCTTAAAATCCATTTTTTGTTATTATTTCTATCTTATTATTATGACAATTTAGGTTAATAGCTTTTTTGATTATATTATTTTTTACTAACCTTATATAAAAGCTAAGTGTACTTGAATCAGTTTGCAAAACTGCTTCTATGAATTTGAAGGTTTATCTATCTATCTCACTTTTTTCTATTCTATTATCAATTGATAGTTATATTTTCTTTTCATTTGTTTTCCTTTTTCTATCTTGGTACAACTCATTGAATTTTTTGAGAAATGCTTCAAATCCTTTTTTTTATATTGCCAGGATCTCATTTTTATAACCAGGACATTTTAATAAATATTTAATCATCTTTTTTTATTGATTGCATACTATACAGTTTGCTTGCTTATATAAGTCAGATCTTCTTATTATTAGTTTGCTTAAGGTGGATAGTTCACCACTAGTCAATTTGATTAGGAAACTTCTTTTTTGTGAACCTTTGAAAGAAGTATCCCATGTGCTACTATCCTTTAACCTATTTCATATCAGGTTTCATAAATAGGTTTGATGTTCTTGAACTTGGTGATACCATTTTGTTTCTATTCTATGTTACTGTATTCATAATAAGGCAGTTAATTTCTTATTGATTTGTTTGATAAACTATCAAATTGAACTATATATCACATCTTTTTGTCACAATATTATTGTAAATATCTTGCTCAATTTGAGACTATTTCACTTTATTGCTGGAAGCTTTAATGCTTTTTTGACCAATCAGTTTGTTTTTTCATTCTATGAATCATTAGAGTGAGCTTTGACTTTAATTAAAATCAGTTAAATATATTTTTTCTTTATAATATCTAGCATTCTTGTTCATAATAATCAGTTCTTTTCTTTTAGCTATCTTTTGTATGTCATCTTCAAGATTTTTTTTTATGTTTTTTCCATTTGAAGATGCAGACTTAATTATCAATAAATATTTCTATCATGCTATCTATTGGGACTAATAAAACTATTGTAACTAGTGCCATCAATTTTACTCTTATATACAGTATAAGGACCAGTTTTTAACTTCTATTTAGAATTTACTTTCTTTTCTAGCTTCTTCAATTTGTATTCATGCTATGCCCATTCTTGCATTTTTATTTCCATAATTGATCAAGGATTCATTTAAGTAAAAGGTTTACTTCTCCTGTAATTCTTGATTATGCTGAAGAATTTCAAATGGATAATCTAGATATACTTCTTATTTGATATTGTTTTTAATTATTTTTTATTTCCAGTCTCCTATTAGTATATGTTCTATTCTTTCAATTTAATTATTTCTTTGGTCTTGGATTTTTAGAACTATACTTGTTATTGTTATCCTATTAAACTTAGATAGGGGACAAGAAATCTTTAGCAATTGTGCTCTCTTGATATTTTTTTTGGCAGTTTAGAAATGATATAGTATAGATCATATCTGATTCTACATCTATATTATATTTCTATTATTTAGGAGACATTCTAAGCATTTGATAAGAACTGTTTCTAGACCATCTTTTATTTCTTGTTGATTAAAGTAACAGATCATGACTATACTATATCTTGACTATTTTCTTTAATTAATTTTTTCATTACTAATTGTTAGCTTTTTTTCTAAGTAACTACCCAAATTTTTTTCTTTTGTCTCTGCCAGATTTAGGCTTAATATGAACCATTCTTCAATTTCTAAACTCTATAAAGTTTTGACTTATTAGCTAATTTATATACATTAATATATTGTTTCATAAGAATGATATTATCTTTTTATATTCTTCAGGTGTTAAATGTTTCTGAATTGGACTGTTGCCTTTGGTCCATTCAAAGATATCATTCTATTTCCAACTCTGAAAAGTTATTCCCAAGTTCTTGACTAGCTTTAGAACCTGTAATATAAAAATTTTTTTATTATTGAGATAATAAAGGATTCATATAAGAAAAGATTGTGGGCTCTCAATATTTAATTTGTGCTTGTTTCAATCTAATAATTGTAGTAAACCCTTCTGGACCTTAATTGTTTATTCTATTATAAAGTCCTATAATTTGGTTTTTTTTTTAAAGTATCCATATATTTTTGAGGTTATATATTTTTGGATAATAGATTACATTATTAAGGATAGATTTATATAAAGCAGTTTTGTTCTTGAAAAGTTTGTGATATTCTACTGTTAAGGTATTGCATATTTTTTAGAACAATATACTATGCTGCATTCTGAATTCTATTCTTGAAATCAATACTCTATTTAATATATAAAGGACTTGCTTATCTATTATATTCTTGTTTTTAAGAGTTCTGATAATTATATTGATTTCTTTTAATACTCTTTCTTTGAGTTCTATTGCAGTTTTCTAATTGCTTATCCAAATTTCTAGAAATCTTGCATGCTCTCCCTTATCGAGTCCTTTGACTACTTCTTTATTAATTTCAGTATGAACTTCTTCTGAATAAGAATTAGAGTTATTGATAGTTACTAATACTAATTTACTGCTATTAATCTAAGAGTCATTTGCTTTATAAAGGATTCTTACTGTTTCTAGGATTTATTCCATATTTTCTTTGGATCTTGCTATCCAAGTGGTATTATCTATAAAGGTTATAGCCATATGTCTTGATTTTAGCCTTTTAGTGATGTCACTATTTAGTTCAGAATTTCATAAGACTACTATTTTATATCTGTGTTCTTCATTCTCTTAGATTTTACATAGCAAGAAGTTATAGAAGATTCTCCATATAAGTGATAAAATGGTTTCTTCTTGATCAATTCCATCTCATGCCCTTATTGGTTTCATGAGAATATTCTCAAATATTATTTTAAACTCTCTATTTTTAAACAGGTTTATCATGATTTTAAAAAATCCTTTAGGTACTTTTATTCTTTCTATTACTTTTGTTAGTATTTCTAAACTGATAGTGTCATATACCTTGGCTATATCTTGAAAGAGTATCCACAACTCTTTTTTGTTTTTTCTTGTATCTTCACAGATGTTATTGAGAATTTGAATGGATTCTGCTATACTTTCTTCTGATAATTCTACATAATTGAAATCCCTAAGGATATTATTGATTTTATAGATATTTTCTATTCTAGTGATTAGAATTTTGATAAAATAATTTCTTTTAATTTTCAATAGTAAGATTGATCTTGTGTTTGTCAATTCATATCCCCATGGTTTTGGTTTAGTTATTGG